ATTTAAAAATTTATTTACTTTTATTGCATCCCAATCTTCTTTAGTAGGATATAACTTTTTGATAGTTGGATTATCTGTTGCAGGTAAAGCTAAAGCAGGCTTAAGTCTGTATATACGTTCTAATATATAGAAACTCGAATTCCATCTTGTCTCTATATCTATAACAGGTCTAAGATTTGCAATTCTCTTTAAGTTGCAAAAGCAATTGAGCTCACGGCTAAGAGATGCTAAATTTTTTATTTTTACCATCAACGCTTGAATGTTATTGATTAGGTCACTAACTAACTTTAAGCCATACTTTGCACTTATATTTAGAACATGCGTAGCGCACCTATAGTGTGAAAAGACCATTGATGAAAATACTGACTCGAGACTCTTGGCAATCTCTTCTCCATATACTAACATGGCCGAAACATTATCTGTGATAAGTGCAATAATTCTATTATGGATATGAAATTCATCCAATACGTTTAAGATTGCATGTGAAATGTTAACTTCTAAAAATAATTACACAAAAAAAAAAAATTAAATCAAGTAATAAAAAAAAAAATTGGGTAAGTAAAAAAAAAAAACCCCTACCTGAATGACTAATGTTAAACAGAATTAAATCAAGCAAAAAAATTCGTAATTGCCAATTGGAATCGATATAATGAACTGTAAGCCCAAGGAAAGCCTCTCTATTGACAGTTGAAGACCAGATATTGGCTGTTAACGAATATTTTCCAGGAATATTGCTAAGTTCATCTATAATTTTGGGTTGTCAATAATTAAATTCATCTATTACTAAATCTTTTATTTGATGTCATTCAGGAATTGTATAATGTGGGCAAAGAAATTTAATAAATAACCGAAAATAGCTATTGTCGACGATGGTAAATGGCTGAAGATCACATATAATCCACTTTAAAAGGTATTTAGTATGCTCTTTTTGTGTTTGTAAGTCAAAAGAATTTACACTAAATTGCAGATTATAATTTTTAGTAGGAACTTCTAACTGGTGTTTGGATATAAGATGGCCCGTAAAGTTGATAAGCCAGTTGTTATTTTGTATTTTTTTCTAGGACGGCAATATTTGCAAACATTGTGATTTGGTGCATATGAAGGTCTTCTATGAAAGTGCTTCCAGACAGTGCTTCCACTTGATGCATTAGAGGATGATATAGAATCGCTAGATATGGCTAATCGTTCATCACGTTCATCACATTCATCACATTCATCAAGTTCATCAAGTTCATCAAGTTCATCAGGTTTATCATGTTCATTAGAAGATATCTGTTCGTTGGTGTTATTAGTATCCAGTTGATTTTCAAGGCTAGTATCTGATTCCTCATTGTAAGTGCGGTTTGTAACTTCTATTTCGTTCATGTTTACTATACAAAACGAAGATACTGCCATCTGCTTTTATCTTATATTTATAGTTTCAGAAACTATATTATTTAGCACTGTATTAGTATATTGGGTGTTTGGAAATGTACGATTTAAATTGTTTAAAGGTAATTGTATACATAAAATTTGTATTCAATACATGATACGATTCAATTTTTAAAGGTAATTGTATGCAAAAATTTTTCTTGAAACTTGTATTTAATGCACAGATACGATTGTTTTTAATTAAAATAAAATTAATATATTGGTTACTCTATTTACATTATCTGCATTACTTGACTATTATGCATAACAATTTTTAATTTGAAATAAATTGTTATATTGCAGTAAATAGCTACACATTTTTTTTTGCTTTTAAAGCAATGCACGGCTTTCATATTAACTGCCAATTCTTTATTGAAACCGATTTTATACTTATTGTTATCGTTGTTTGCAAATAATGTATATTTTGATGAATTTTGCAGATTGCAGCTCAATATAAATTAGTTAAGCAATTTTTCTTAATAAAATTCAATACAAAGACAACTTCACACAATCGAGTAATCGAACAACAAAGCTGCGATCTGCAAAATTTATACTATAAATAGTATATGTACATTGTATGCATCAAGAAAATATATACGTAGTAAATGTGCAGGCTGCAGAACATCACGCAGACAGTAGAAACGGTGTAGACAATAACCGTTGGTTAACGATTCCCTATTTATTATCGTGAAAGACGATTTTCTTCTTCAGGCCAATATTGATTGCAGAATCAAAAAATTAAAAGTGCACAAAAAGCCAAATAAAATTCATAGATAATTGTTAAATCCTTTAGCTCCTTATTTAATAAACAGTTTATTTCAAAAAGTTCTGTTAATTTTTAAAACAATTGTCTTGAATTGCATTAGTTTAATTATAAATCCAACTGGCTGCAAATAATTGAAGTTACTATCTATAATAATTAAACTAAAAAATTACTGCTAAAATATACCGGTGCTTTGGGCAGTTGTATTCTAATTGGTAAAAATTCTGTTTGTCATAACATTTTGAATAAAAGCCAATAATACAAATGAAACATTGCTATTATCATAATTTTTTAATAATTGTAGTGATGCTCAATTGCAACAATAGATCACTAAATAATAGTTAATCGAAAATTTACAAAAAATATAAGTCGATAATGAAAATCCATAATAAAGGTAT